TGTAGTTCTAAACATGTGTTAATCTACAATTTATGTTGTGTGTAAGTCTTCTGGTCAACTGTAGGCTATTAGTAGTTAAGTTTTGGGGCAGTTGAAAGTTCTACCCGGATTTTTGACTGCACAGGGGTTGGTGTTCCCAACCCCCCATTGTTCAAGGTTCTCTATATATATAGATTTTCCAACCTACGCGCAATTAGTGGTTTCAGTCTTGATTGCTTATTACATCAACTCTATACAAAACAGTAAGTTTATTCTTTAACTGCACATTATTTATTTTTTCTACTATCAAATTAGAAACAATCTATTCTGTCCCAAAGATATAATCCAGTTTTACCTTATATAGAAATTTTTATATAATTTTCTTTTTTCAGGATATTCTCATATTTGTACTGGCTTAATCACTGATTTTGTATTATAAATTGAGGAAAGCTGTGAGATAATGAAAATAAAATTTATATAATCTCTTAGATAATATCTATAATCTCTTATAGAACCTCAGTTTCCTTTCCTGAAGTGTAGTCATACTCATGAGTAGACACAGACTATACACATTGATCATAGTTTTAGATCCATAAAAGTTTTCTAGCCTTCCCTGAGTTCTTATTAAGCCAAGAACACACTGTTTTAGTTAGATTTTCCATCCACATTGTTGTATATAATATGATCTGGCAGCAAGACTCTTCTTTGGAATAGGGAAAAGAAAAACAGAATGAAATCTGAAGATCTAAGTATTCTGGTATCTGTGCCTTTGCCTTTCACATTTGTTTTATGGTCCTTGTATATACAATGAATTGCATTGTATTTCCATGCATAATGCAAAAGTTGCCTGCATCACAAATATTTTGTGAGCATTAAGAATACTTTACCTACAGCTGAGTATGATTAATATACTACTAGCACTTAATGTAGCATTTACTAAATGTTGGATTCGGTACTAAATTCATGTTTCAAATATTGACAGAAGTGTAATTATTTTACCAATTTCACTTATAAGAAAACTGAAGCACCTAGAGGTTATGTGAATTTCTCACAGTCACTCAATCTAGAAGTGACCAGAAGGGGCAGAGTTAACTTCCAAACTCCCTAGTTCTAGACTCCACCTTTTAAATAATAAAAATATTGTGAGTTCTGAAGAAGTAAAACAAAAACAAACAAAAAAACAAACAAACAAACAGAAAAACAGCCTGAATCTGAAAGAGTTAAAAAAAAAAATCTTCTCAGGGCTGAGATGGTAAACAGCAGCTCTGCAGTTAATCAGACTGCAACAACAGACATTGATAAGGCCAGCTTAACGTTAACAGGAAATAATACTTCTCTCATTGCTGCTGTATAGTGTCAAAATGACTTCCTTTCTTTGAGTGACTATCATCCTGCTTTGCCATTTTCACTTTGTGAATCAAGGGCAGAGAGACACTTAATTGTTAGCCTCCATCACCTCAGTCAGCAGGGCTCAAATCTACTTTTCTTACTTTCCCCTTAGAAATTGCAGTCAATCCAGAGTTGATCCTTCCTGTACTCAGTGTGCCTTAGAATCAATCACGGCAAATTCAGAAGTTACCAGAAATCTTTCCTACTCCAACCACACTCAGACATGAACACCTCATGGGCCTGTGGTGTGCTACCTTGTTGCAACAAATCAATGAGCCTATTTTGTTGCTCTACCTGTTGGTATCTAGGGATCTTATTCAGATGGGCTTTATAACCTGATGCCTAATCTGTAGACATCTCACAAATATAATGTGTTTTGTTTGTCTTCTTTTGTAGTTTCCCTCGCCTCCCTGAGGTTTCATACATTCTGGATTCACTTTGGTTTTCTGATCCATGCCTTAAAATCTGCTTAGTGCTAGTATTGACTGAAAATTCACTGTGGTTCTTCTAACAGTTATATTCCTCTATTGGTAAATACAAGCAAGTTATTTAACCTTGATAAGATGCAGTTGCTTGACTATAAAAGAGGGATAATCATTTCTCAAAGGATTTTGTAAGAATTAAGTGAAATAGGATAGCTAAATAGACTGTCAGAGCCCAATTAATGATGTGCAGTGAGTACATATTAATTATTATTATTACTGTTTCTATGTAACTTTTTAAAAAAGATTTTATTTATTTATCTGAGAGACAGAGATCACAAGCAGGCAGAGAGGCAGGCAGAGAGAGAGGAGGAAGCAGGCTCCCCGCCTAGCAGAGAGCCCGATGAGCGGGGCTTGATCCCAGGACCCTGAGATCATGACCCCAGCCAAAGGCAGATGCTTAACCCACTGAGCCACCCAGGTGCCCCTATATATAACATTTTTTACTTTTACATTGTTCTAAAACTGATTTGAAATGGGGCTGTTAAACAGATACAGAGATTTCTTGTAGACATTTAGGTATTCTTGTGGTCCCATGGGCTGAAAAGGGGACTTGGCTGTGCAGGTGGGGCTTTTGTTTCTCACAGTGCTTCAATTAGAGGAACTTAATTTTCACTTATATCTTCTATTGAGAGTCAAACATAATTCATTAAAAATGGCTCTGCTGCATAAAAATGTTTTTAAAACAAGGAACTAATATATAAAATATATTATTTAAAATGTTGAATCATAAAAGACTATATCATGCATAAAAGACTATAATATCTGTAAAATTTTGCAAATAATATATAAATTTAGGAGATAGTTTTTGAAAATAAAGGTTAGAGTCCCATTAATATGGCTTAAATAACAAATCAGCTTTAAACTGATATTTTCAATACTTCAAAGTTAATAATTGTCTTGAAATGTATGATATATACTAAGGAATAGACATGAAAGGCATTGATATTTTCCAGAATTACTTTTCTTTATTTTTTTACATTGAACTTACTCAAAAGAGAGGAAGGGAAAAAATGGAAGGAAGGGAGGGAGACAGAAGTTGCTAATCTCTTGGATTTAGTCACTATGCAAATAAAATGCTGTAAAAAACCTGCAGTGAGTCTTTCTGGCCATGGATTTAGCAATGTAAGCATAGAGCCAGCAGAACTAAAGGGGCTCTTTATAACTGTCCATCCTGAAAACACATGTGAAAAATAAGCTCAATTTAAACAAGGCTGGACACTAATTAAATCTTGGATCTGCCCCAATCCTTGCCTTAAAGCATCTTATAATTTGCTTATCATGCAGTCAAACTAAGAAAATCGACACATGATTTGGCACAGTTTTGTTAAGCTATTTATTCTGAAAGTGGCCAAGTCAAGTTGTGGATTGGCAGAAAGAAATACAGTAGATAAGATGCCATTTGACATGTAACACCCTACCATCAACACCCTAAAAATGATCTAGTATGTTGAAACTAGTCACGAAGAAATAAATTCTAAAATGTCTTTCCTTTCAACATTCAGCAGTTTAGAATGTTCATTTAATTCTTTGTGGCCAGCTTTTGGGCTTACATAGTTTCATATGTTCTTGTTAAATGTTCTCAGAAGTTTAAATGAGTCAGAATTTTCTTAGAGATGGCGTTTTCAAACATAATAAAATTGGAGGATTTTGTACCTTGGTGAGCACCTGTAATATTTGTTAATATATCTGATTTTGTGGCTCCAGAGATGAAAGTAGCACCACACATCATCAAAATCATTGCTTACAACATTTGTATATAATGTCATAAAATCTCAGTTAACACTGCTAGAATGTCTTGTTTACTACTCTGAATGTCATCAGCTTCATTAACACCAAGACTTTGAATTATTTTCTGTATCAAGGATATTGCTTTTTATAAAATGGGAGGAAGATGTGTCCTTTTCATCTATGTGTAGAAATTTCCTACATTTCCAGAGTGAAAGTCTTACAGAACTTGATTGAACTTCAAGTAAAAGTTTTTATTCTTTATTTTGAGAAGAAAAAGAAATTCCCTTCGTAGAACAATTTGACCAGAAGGAGTTCTTTTATGGCAAGGTTTAATTAGAAGATCGTTTATTTTGAGCCATGAATTTCAAATTGCAGAGTGCATCAGAATCACCCATAGGGCTTGTTAAACCAGGGTTGGTCCTAACCCCAGAGTTCAGTAAGTCTGGGGTGAAACCCAAGAATTAGCACTTTGATACCCACTGACTTAAGCAATGTTTTGATTACATAAATAGTTTACTCTTTAAGACTGAATTCATAATTGTGGATGGTGCTCATGAACTTTGAGCCCTTTTGACTAAAATACAACTTTGAAAAAAGGGATTAAATAAATTACATAACCTTTCCAATGTTATGGATAACTTGAAGGTGGTACAGTCCTATTGATCACTTTAGCCAGCAAAGATTTGCAAACACCTAAAAAAAAACTTTTTTCATTTTTTTTAAGTTATATTAAAATAAAAATGTAAAGTTACGGAAAAGAGGCTGACCTAACCATAAGTGGCCTCACCATTGACCTAAGGACGAAGAACATCATGGCAAGTAAGCAACATGATTTTGACTTAGAATCTTGCTGAAATCTAGAAGTAGTATCCTCATTTTGCAAGGTGAACAGAATGAAATCTCATTGATCACCTTTGCTGCCCAATATGTTTGTAAACAGTGTTCTCAGCAGTACTGATAAAAATAAAGTTTTTGTGATTAAACTAAAAAGATGATATGCATGCTGCCATTCAACTCTTTATTCAGTTCAAATAAATAAAATCTCATTGAAATAATTTTGAGCAAAATTATATTTGTATTTGTCAACTTTGATTTCTGGCCATTATTTCAAGAGCTGATATTTAATTTTCTATTTAAATATAAGCTCAAGAGACCAGTAAATCTTTGTGTAGTTAATTCTTTGTATATACATATTTTAATAATTTATTCATAGTTAATTATAGACTTAAAATTTGAAATATGAAGTTATAGCCATTTAATTTTTCCAACACTCCTTTCAGTCTCCTTGATTACCTCAATGGCAATCAGTCCCAAAGCTATCCTTCTGTCTTACTCATTCTTCCCACTTCAGAGTTTTTTTTTACGAAACCTCAGATGTTTATGGCATCCAGCTCCTGCATGCCAGAAACGTATAGATCCACTCTTCGTACCCTTTCTGTCAGTACACGCATATCTTGAAGATACTACCGGCTCAGTTCTGACCACTGGAGTAAAGTGAATATCGAAATAAAGTGAGTCAAATGTCATTTTTTGTTTGCCAGTGCTTACAAAAATTATGTTTACGTGATAGCATAGTCTTTTAAGTATGGAGTGGAATTGTCTGTAAAAACAAGATACATATCTTAACTCAAAAATATTTTATTGCTAAAAAACACTATTATCTGAACTTTCAGTGAGTCATAATCTTTTTGCAGGTGGAGGGTCTTGACTCAGTCTTGATGCTGCTGAGTGACCAGTGTGGTGGTTGCTGAAGGCTGGGATAGTTGTAGCAATTTCTTAAAATAAGGCAACAACGAAGTTTGCTGCATGGTTTGACTTTTTCTTTCACTGATGATTTTTCTGTAGCATATGGAGCTGTTTGACAGCATTTTACCCACAGTAGGACATCTTTCAAAATTGGAGTCAGTCTTCTCGAATCCTGCCACTGCTTTATTAACCAACTTACATTTTAAATCTTTTGTTGTCATTTCAGCAATCTTCACAGCATCTTCACCAGGAGATTCTGTCTCGTAAAACCACTTTCCTTGCTCTTTCATAAGAATCAGCTCCTCATCCGTTAAAGTTGTATCATGAAATCGCAGCAGTTCAGTCACTCATCAGGCTCCGCTTCCAATACTAGTTCTCTTGCTGTTTCCACCACATCTGCTGTCACTTCCTTCACTGAAGTCCTGAATCCCTCAAAGTCACACGTTAGGGTTGGAATCCGTTTCTTCCAAACTCCTATGAATGTTGACATTTTGACCTCTTCCCATGAATCACAATTATTCTTTTTTTTAAAATTTTTTATAAACATATAATGTATTTTTATCTCCAGGGGTACAGGTCTGTGAATCGCCAGGTTTACACACTTCACAGCACTCACCATAGCACATACCCTCCCCAATGTCCATAACCCCACCCCCCTTTCCCGACCCCCCTTCCCCCAGCAACCCTCAGTTTGTTTTGTGAGATTAAGAGTCACTTATGGTTTGTCTCCCTCCTGATCCCATCTTGTTTCATTTATTCTTTTCCTACCCCCCTAAACCCCCCATGTTGCATCTCTACTTCCTCATATCAGGGAGATCATATGATAGTTGTCTTTCTCCGATTGACTTATTTCGCTAAGCATGATACCCTCTAGTTCCATCCACATCGTTGCAAATGGCAAGATTTCATTTCTTTTGATGGCTGCATAGTAATACATTGTATATATATACCACATCTTCTTTATCCGTTTATCTATTGATGGACATCTAGGTTCTTTCCATAGTTTGGCTATTGTAGATGTTGCTGCTATAAACATTTGGGTGCGTGTGCCCCTTCTGATCACTACATTTGTATCTTTAGGGTAAATACCCAGTAGTGCAATTGCTGGGTCATAGGATAGTTCTATTTTCAACTTTTTGAGGAACCTCCATGCTCTTTTCCAGAGTGGTTGCGCCAGCTTGCATTCCCACCAAGAGTGTAGGAGGGTTCCCCTTTCTCCACATCCTCGCCAGCATCTGTCATTTCCTGACTTGTTAATTTTAGCCATTCTGACTAGTGTGAGGTGGTATCTCATTGAATCACAATTATTCTTAATGACATCTAGAATGATGAATCCCTTCCAAAGCTTTTCAGTTTACTTTGAAATTCAGATCCATTAGTATAATCACTGTCTATGGAAGCTGTAGCCTTAGGAAGTGTGTTTCTTAAATAATAAGACTTGAAAATTGAAATTCCTCTTTGATTCATATTCTGTAGACTGGATATTGTATTAGCAGGCATAAAAGCAATATTAATTTATTGTACATCTCCATCAGAGCTCTTGGGTGACCAGGTACATTGTCAATGAGCAGTAATATTTTACAAGAAATCTCTTTTTTTCTATTTTTTTGTGAGCAGTAGGTCTCAACAGTTGACATAAAAAATACAGTAAACAATGTTGTAAAATGATGTGCTGTCTTCCAGGCTTTGTTATGCCATCTATAGACCACAGACAGAGTGGATTTAGTGTAATTCTTAAGGGCACTAGCATTTTCAGAATGGTCAATGAGAATGACTTCAGCTTAAAGGCACCAGCTGTGCATTAACCCCTAAATAGAGAGTCAGATTTCCTTTGAAGCTGGCATTGACTGAAGCCAAGCATTGACTTTTTGTCTTTAGTAATGAAAGTTCTAGATGGCATCTTCTTCCAATAGAAGGCTGTTTTGTGTACACTGAAAACCTGTTGTCCAGTATTATCCATTGTGTGTGTGTGTGTGTGTGTGTGTGTGTGTGTGTATACACACTCCACATCTTTATTCATTCATCCATTGACGGACACGGGCTGTCTGCATTTCTTGCCTGTTATAAATAGTGCTGTAATAGTCGCAAGGGTGCATATGCCTTTTCAAATCAAAGTTTCTGATTTTTTTTTAGGTGAATACCCAGTAGTAGATTATTGTATCATATGGTATTTCTATTTTTCAATTTTTGAAGAACCTCCATACTGCATTCCACAATGACTGTACCAGTTTACATTTTCATCAATAGTGCATGAAACTTCCTTTTTCTCCAAGTCCTTGCCAATACTTGCTATTTCTTGTCTTTCTGATTCTAGCCAGTCTAACAAGTGTAATGTGATTTGATCTTGATTTGCATTTCCCTGATGATTAGTGATGTTGAGAATCTCTTCAAGTATATATTGGTCATTTGTATGTCTTCTTTGGAAAAATGTCTATTTAGGTCCTCTGCCCAATTTTAGTCGTATTTTTTTTTTATTTTGAGTTGTATACATTCTTTATGTATTTTGGATATTAATCACTTTTAGATATATTATTTGCAAATATCTGCCATTCATTAGATTGTTATGTACACACACACACATACACAGGAATATTGCACAGCCATAAAAAAAAGAATGAGATCTTGCCATTTGCAACATCGTGAATGGACCTAGAGGGTATAATGCTAAGTGAAATAAATCAGAAAGAGAAAGATAAATGCCCCATGATTTCACTTGTATGTGGAATCTAAAAACAAAACAAATGAATAAACAAACAAAAGGCAGATTCAGACCTATAAATATGGAGAACAAACTTGTGGTTTCAAGAAGAAAGGGGCAGGGAGGAATGGACAAAATGGGTGAAGGGGAGTAGGAGATACAGGCTTTAGTTGTGGAATGAATAAGTCATGGGAATGAAAGGTACCACATAGAGGGTATAGTGACTAGTTTCGTAATAGCATTGTATGGTGGCAGATAGTAGCTACACTTGTGTGCATGGCATAATGTGTAGAGATGTATCACTAGGTTGTACACCTGAAGCTAATGTAACATTATGTCAACTATACTGAAGGAAATGTTTTTTTAAAAAAAGTCTGTTGTTTAGTGCAGCTTTCAATAATTCTGAACTAGTTTTTCAGATAACTTGCTGCAGCTTCTACATCAACACTCACTGCTTTACCTTGTACTTTTATGTTAATGAAGATGGCTTTTTTCCTTAAATCTCGTGAACCCACCCCTGCTAGCTTCAAACTTTTATTCTGCAGCTCCCTCACCTCTCTCTGTCCTCACGTCATTGAAGAGAGTTAGGTCCTTTTTCTGGATTAGGCTTTGGCTTAAGGTAATGTTGTGACTGGTTTATCCAGACCACTAACATGTTCTCCATATCACCAGTAAGGTTGTTTTGCTATCTTATCATTCGTGTGTTCAGTGGAGTAGCACTTTTAATTTCCTTCAAGAACTTTTCCTTTGCATAATTTGGCTGTTTGGCACAAGAGGCTTAGCTTTCAGCCTGTCTTGGCTTTCAACATGCCTTCCTCACTAAGCTTAATCATTTCTAGCTTTTGATTTAACATGAGAGACTCCTGATTCTTCCTTTCACTTAAACAGGTAGAGGCCATTTTAGGATTGCTAATTGGCCTAATTTCAATACTGTTGGATCTCAGGAAATAGGCCTGAGAAGAGAGAGGGAGATGGGGGAACTGTGTATCAGGGAACAGTAAGAACACATACATAGAAGTTTTATATAGGCATTTTATATAGGCATGGTTAGTGGTGCCCCAAAGTAATTACAGTGTAACATAAAGATCGCTGATTGTAGATCATCATAACATATATAATAATGAATAAAATGTTGAAATATTGTGAGATTTACCAAAATGTGATACAGAGACACAAAGTGAACAAATGCTGTTGGGTAAATGGTGCCAATAGACTTGCTAGAATCAGGGTTCCCACAAGCCAGTTTATAAAAACTGCAATTTCTGTGAAGAGCAATAAAATGAGGTATGTCTGTATTCCTCATAAGTCATGAAGAAACCACTAAAGACTGTTCCTGAAAGCCAGCAGGTTTATCACTGCTGAGGTGATACATTGGTGTCTAGATCTCAGCAAAGAGTACAGTGTTTCTTCATAGATAGATGATTCTACTCTGTCAGTATTACGGTTGCCCAATGCCTGGCATCTTATGGTTGCAGCCCTTAGCCCTCACTGATTTTAGTTCACATACTTTTCCAAGGTGTAAAATAGCTGTGGAAGAAAGAGTTGGGCAAAACTGGTTCTATCAATTTGTCTCACACGTCAGAATTTCTTTCTGACCTTCCCAGGGATGAAGTAACCTCTCTCCAAGAACCTAAAAACACTTTATCTTATTTTTCCCTCTTGGAAATTCAACAACCTATAGCTTTCCTTCTAGTGTGGGCTGAATAACTATCCTCAGAGATTTCTATATAATGTCCTGACCTTATAAGGAATGTTACCTTAACTGACCCAAAGGTGATTTTTATCCTGATATATCTTGTAGACAAATGTAAAGTTAATTTTTAGGTCAAGTGCATGTGTTCATGTGCATTTTTAAAGGGGAAGGTGCTCATACTCTTTTTTTCATGTTTTCAAAGAGATCCATGACCAAAAACAAATTTATAACTAGTTGGTTAGAGAGACTTAAATTTAGGAATAGAACATGCAAGGGTAAATTTTAGAAAGAGAAGTCAGCACAGAGGATGGCAAGGATATATCAGAGATACAGGAAAAGAACAAGAACAAATGACATCGTCAAGTCAGAGAAGT